GGTGTAGAGCACAAGGCAGAACCACCCCATACTGCTGTGTTTCTGTCTGTTCTGTGCCCAGGGTTGTGTGCGTATTCACGTTATCCCCAGATCAAGATGGCTCATTTTATTCTTTAATGCACTGTGAATGGAATGAAGTGGAGGAAAGCACATCAAAGAGAAAGAATTCCATTACAATGTGTGTTTGGGGTAGAGGACAACTGCATACTTCCCCTCCCCCCCCTCCCCCATTCAAGACTTATTTATTATTTTGCTTTTAAAGCCGGTCTGTGAGTTTTAAATTCCCAAAGCACAGATTAAATAGCAGCACCGAGGAAAAAGGGGCAACAAACTTCTGAATGGGAATAAGAATCTTCCCAGGAAAACATGCTGGGCTGTGGAATGCTTTTGGACGAGGCAGGAAATAGGGGGTCACATAAACAAACATGAAGGAGCAGCTCCCCCGAGGAAGAGCACACACATGGCCGGAGTCTGTCCCTAACAGTTGCAACTCCTGGTCTGTGAAAGAGGAGGGGCCCAGGATTGCGCACTGTGTTCACGGAAAGATCCCAGCCCTGCCACTGGAGCAGGCGCCCACACCCCTGTGGTGACCACACACCCCGGTCTGCACTCGTATAGCCACCCCTGCACTTGAACACAGGCACTTACCCTGTAGCTGCCTTGTCGTCACGTCCTGACTCATCGGGGAAGACCAGAAAATACATGTACCATGAAACAGCTGTCCCGACACTATTAGGACATTCAGATGCCACTGCAGGGCTGAAGGAAAATGAACAGCATATGACCTCTCTCACCTTCTACCTTCCTGCTTGGAAGATGTCTGAGCAGGTCAGTGTCGGACATCAGGAGTCAGACACAACTTGTTTTTTTTAATGGTTGTTATTTGTGAGGCATGTTGAACACCCCTACTCTTTTCAAGAAACATACTGAGATTTTTAACAACCAGAGAGACAGGACCTCAGCTTTACATCTCAGCTGAAGGACAGCATCTTTTTACAGTATACAGTTATACTGGGGCATTAGGACCTACTTAGACTGCAGGATGAGCGCCCCCTGCTGGCTCCACTGACACCTCTTCCAGCAACAACCTTAGCTTTTCCTAGGAGGTCTCTCATCCAGGTACTGGCCAGACACACACCTGCTGAGCTTCAGTGGGCTGCCAGCTGTGACCTGTGAGCTGCACGGTGATATGGCTGCCGGCAATGGAGGAGCTGTTAACTCTGCATTAAAATCAGAGTTCATTCAGTGTCTGATGCCTGACACTTTCGATTCATTGCTGTTCATTTTATCAGTGTCAAAACAAGAGCCTCCCATACAGGATCATCAAATCAGGTTTAAACATAAGTCCAAGACGCTCATAGGGTCACACAGCCCACATGCTAAAAATCTGGGGAAATCTTTTTTTTTTTTATTCCTGACCTTTGAGCTAGCGTCAGCTCTCTAACGTCATTTCTCTCCTCCCTTGTGTTACTGAAACCGCTGAAGAAAGGGAGAGCTGCCTTCATGTTGCAGAGGTAGTGAAAGAATGTTTTCATGACCGATCAAAAGCATTGGAACACATACCTGGACTATGAAGTGTGAACTTTGACCCTTTAGACCAGGTAGTGGTGAGACCTCTAAAAGAGAGTGTGAAAGAGACCACAGCCACTCCAATCTTGATTTGTTTCTGGGTCAAATTCAGGATATCAGTAAAAGCAAGACAGCCAGAATGGAAACCCTGGTATAATAGCGTAATCCCTGACACTCATTTTCTTTCCCGAATTGTTATTCCAGACTGGGAACATGTCTAGCAACTTCCCTGTGGGAAGCTGAAGTCTGTCTGTCTTTCCTGCTTCTCTTTCCAGACCCGGCGTCCCCACCCGGTCAGGAAGGCCGAGATCGGCCGGCAGTAAGTCTCGGATCACTTTCTGTGCTGTGCGTCTGGAAGACCCAAGGGACTGGCTCACTCAGGTTCTTTGAACCTGCCTGTTTCGTCCTGTCAGCTCTTCCAGCAGAGTGGGAAACACTCACGAGTGTTTATAACGATAGCTCAGGAGGGAAGACAACAGCCATGCTCACTTAACCTCGGCTGTCGGTAATTTGTAAGCAATCCTGATGTCATTTCCTTACCTCAAACTTCATAGATACTGTATGTGATCCCCTCCTCTCCCTTCTCCACCCCATGTGCACCCCTCATTCTGGTGGGGGGGTCCCAGACTCCTCGTCCTGTGGCCAGGAGGTCAGCTCTCGGCCAAGCAGGCCAATTCAAATGTCCCGTGACTAAAACAATCAATAAACCTGTCCATACTCTCATTTCTTGGGGGGTGTAATTCCTAGTGAATTGGAAAAAAAGAGGCTAAATCACACAAAAAATAAAGTGTTCAAACACATAAAATGGGAATACTCTCCAGCGGGCGTGTGCTGTCAGTAGAGTCTGCAAGGTGAGGATGGAGAGGCAGGGGCGGAGGTCAGAAATGAAAGCTCTTGGAAAGCACAAAAAAAAACATGAAGGAGGGATCAGAGATAGAGCAAGACAGGAAGTGCAGCAGAGGGCTGGTTGTCCCTCAGCGGCTAAGATGTCCTGACCCATTTTAACTTTTAAGTAGATTAGGGAAGCTATAAATATACGGTATATAGATATACTCCGCACAGAAGCGCCAAGTTGCTCCGCTTCAAATTGAGTAATAGAGTGCTAAGAGGATTTAGGAGGCAGTAATTTCCTGTGCTGTAAAAGCTATGAGCTAATGTAAGAAGTGTTTGCTCATAAGCGTGTTACAGTAAGAAAGTGAAACTAGGGAATTTCATAAAATCCTTGAATATTCCAGTAAAGCTCCCTTCCTCACAGGCTGCATGGACCTGCCCTGGGGAATCAACCTGCATAAATTAAGCAACTTTGCAAATTCTGTGCTGACAGTAGTCTTAATTAAAAGAAGAACAAGTCCTGTACATGTGCATAAGAGCATAAGAAAGGCTACAAATGAGAGGTGGTTATGTGGCCTTATCTAGTCTTTTTGGTAGTTAGTAATTGATTCATCTCATCCAGCCGGTTCTTGAAAGATGTCATAGTTCCAGCTTCAGCAGCATGGGCAGCTAGCCTGTTCCATGCTCCCACAACCCTTTGCGTGAAGAAATGCCTCTTGTTCTCCTGTTCAATGCATCCAAATCGTTTTTCCATTTGCGTCCTCGAGATTCTGTTTCATTGTCAATTCTTTGTGTCAAACCAGTGAGATCGGCTGGTAAAAGGGATGGATGTATAAAGGGGACAGGAGAAAGCTAGCTGGCTTGGGAGCTTTACGACTGTCCTCATGGTCTTCATTTCCTGACTTCGGAAGCCTGCTTTCGGATGATTTCCAAATACGCGGGAGCGCAGGGAAACAGCGGGCAGTGCGAGGCTGGTCACGTTGCCGACTCGGGTCTCCAGTCCCCTTGCTCCGGGCAGCTGTGGGGGGGAAGGAGAATCCTCTGCTCACAAATGCCCACCTCACACAGGAGTCAGAGGTCAACGCAGACCGGGAATCCACTGGTGTAACTGATGTGGCAAATGATGCTTCAAGGTTTGTAGAAAACAAAAATGTGTAGCAAGCCTTTAGGATAATGCCACTGACTGCTTCTATTACTGTGCAAAAGCTATTTTATCTACACAGATGCAGCCTCCCCCATCCCTCATTCACATCACAGCAGCCCTGCCTTCTCTCCTGTGCAACCACTAGAGGGCACTGCACCCACATTCAAAAATCCCCCCACCCCACCCCAAAATGTACTATACATAATAATTATTATTATAATAATAATTGCTTACACATATATAGCGCTTTTCTGGACACTCCACTCAAAGGGCTTTACAGGTAATGGGGTCCCCTCCACCACCACCAGCGAGCAGCCCCACCTGGATGATGCGACAACAGCCATACTGCACCAGTACTCTCCCCACACACCAGCTCTCAGTGGGAGGAGAACAGAGTGATGAAGCCAGTTCAGAGATGGGGATTATTAGGAGGCCATGATTGGCACTAAATGGCGAAAATTAAAGAAAACGCCGAACACAGCAGTGGTACTAATCAGCCTTTTTGTTCTGTATTATTTTGGGTTAGAAATCCCATTTCTGTATAATGGGGCATTTAGCAGGGACTCCATCCTTCAAAGCACTGACATACAATCAGCCTCCTAAAACAATAACCGGAAATAATCTCCTAACACAAATGTTATGCCCTTCGATGGATGGGATGTAAGTCCCATCCAGTGTGTATCTCAGCTTGTGCCAGGTGCTTGATATTGAATAAGCAGATTAGAAAATGGATGAACACATTACATTATAATGCTGATATTAATAATCAAGTCCTGGTATCTGTGGACATACAGATATACAATTAAATTATTGAAGGCAAATCCTGAAAAGATTACCAAAAATGATTGATTTAAACAATTAAGAGAAACATTCCCAGATTTTCCTCAGATATATCCCTTGTTCCTAGAATAAGAGAATTTAATGCTTTGCTCTCACGCAATTCTGATCTGATTACTTCATCAATCAAAATAAACAGCCAGTTTAATCCATCCCTGAATTACAATCTAGCAAATAATTAGAGGACCTGAGTGAGATGAGCGCATTGTGTGAGAATAAATCCACAATTTAAAAACATCACAGGCCTCCGGGAAGAAAGGAGTCAGACACCTGTGGTTTAAATTCAGCAGAGACTTGTGCCAATAAAAACATTACACAGTGTCACCAACCTGCCATTCACACCCCCTTTGGTGCAGACTCCAGCTGAACAGCAGCGTGATCCATTTCAGGTTTAACTGGCAGCAGGGTTTTACGCAAGACAACAGCAGTGACCAACAGCAGGTAAACACTTTAAAAAAATAGTTTACATATTTTTAATGCTTTCACTGGGTGTCTGGTCTTCAAAACCAGTGAATGCAAGTGGAAACTCCATCTTTAATCTGTTCAAATGACTGAAAAAGCTGGTCACAGATCGACACGGGATGTTAAAAGTCCCGCTGAGTGAATATTTTTGTTGCTGTCATTTCTGCACGAGGCCGCAGTCTGCAATGGTGACAATGGATAAGCTGCTGGCCACTGAGAGATCTGCTTGCACACACACGCAGACACTGACGCATGAACACTGAACTCGCTCTGGCGTCCAGCTTGTACCAACTTTATTTCACATCCCGCCTCCAGGACCAGGACCCAGACCCAGGAGGAACAGGTGGCAGGGACCTGGTCTATACAAAGCTGGTGTTCCTGCCCCGTTGACACCAAACAGGCAAAGAGGAGCCAGTGGACAAGGTGGACAGTGATTTTTTTTTCTTCCCATTTTCAGTTATAAAAACAGTTGGAAAAAGTCCCGTTCTTCCATTACAGCTGATGTATTTCAGATTTCGAGTGTTTTTTTTAAGTGTGCAGGAGGGTGAAAATGAAACAAGACTCGACCGCCAACTGACACTGAAAAAGCAGATTCTTTTAAGTATAAAAATAATAAATAAAAAAAAAATAACACACATTACAAAGACAGTTATTCAAATAGGAATACAGGTTTCTTTTCCTTTCCCACCAATCACTCCCTCCCTGCCCCGAGGAGAATAAAGCAAACGAGCTGCGATGAAGGAGAGCTAAAACATTTAAAACGGTTACATCACTGACCGACTCGGGGGGGAAGTCCAGCAGCACAGGCGACAGGCCCTTCCCAAATCCACAGCCAATGGGAAAAAAACAACAACAAACCAACGGCCGTCCTTCCCCCCCGGCACACTGCACTGTCTTCATCAGCTCCCTGTGAGCCAGGCGCCATGTGCTGGACATGCTGCCAGAGTGCGGAGGAGCAGTGCCCAGCTCTGGCCGCCAGGGCAGCAGGAACTATCATACAAAAAAAGGGGGGGACTTGAGTAAGCTTGAGCTGACACCCCATGATTACTGCACGGATTAACTTAAGAGAAGAAAACAACATCCTTCTGGGAGTAAACAAGTTTATATACAAGCATATATTTGTATTTTTTTTTGTTAATTTTTTATTGTTTTGGTAAAGTAGAAGAACAGGGATTATTTTATA